TCGACCACAGAAGCACACAATCTTGTAGCAGCCGGATCTCGATAATGGTTTATATTTGTCCCTTGAAAATGGCATAGCAGAAGAAAGTGTGAGGGTTTCTTAAACACTGTTATTATCCCACACTTTCTCACGGCTATTTTAAAACGTTTACAACTATGACTAGAAAATACGTTGAACTAGTAGTCATATTAAGATAAAATATTCATCAAACGAAGAACAAGTTCAAGAGTTAGAATCTGAAATTCTCTAATATCACGAAGTAGAGGAAGGGTGAAAAACCTAAGGGCTAAGAAAATATTCATGCCTTTGAGTAAAAACAATGAAAGATTGAGCATTGTATGATTGGTTGTCCAGAAAATTCATTTGCAATGAATATAATTGTCATATGACAAGTGGTTTTACTGAGGATGATGCTCAGATAATTGTGACAGGCTCTGCTACCAATTGCTAAAACAAATGCACAGAAGACCAAAAGCCATTGCATCAGTTTCTGATGAGATCCGTCAATATCAATTTTTATAACATTTAACCAAATAATCGGTCTTAGAACTATTTCAAACCTTGCAAAAAGCGAAGTTATCCTCGTTGATAGCATAAAGTCAAAACTTTAGATAAGCAAAAACTTTTAAATACGAGCGGAGGCTACGTTATGGACAAATAGACCAAAAGCAGGAAGTAATAAGTGAGCTAATTACGATTCGGAAGTTAAATTAACTGTCAATTGTTAGAGAATTTAACTAAAGTATTTATTATAAATTGATAAACATGTTAGATGACAAAAAGATTCAATCGAATCCTTCTGAATAACAGATAAAACTGTGACATAAGAGATATCTCAAACTTCTGTACAAGGTAGATCATCGGGAATGATCAACAAACAGGATAGAAACAAGTAGGAAAGGATGTTGACGGCAAATTAGAAAGCATTTTAAGAGCCCAAAATTAAATTGTGCTTTTATTCATATAAATAATTGTTGTGCTTACTTCCATTTTGAGTGAAAGTGTTTGGTGAAGAGATTAGAAGGTCGATTCCACCGGAAAACGGAGGATTCCTCTTGACCAGCTGTCGATTGACCTTACTGGAATATTCATGCCGACGCTGTATCCGAGGTAATCTCCAGTAAAGTCAATCGACAACTGGTCAAGACGAATCCGCCGTAGTCTCCTGGTGGATTCGACCTTCGAATCTCTTCATCAAACACTTCCACTCGAAATGGAAGCAAGCACAACAATTATGAAACAAGAAATTTCTAAAAACCCAACTTTTCTTTTCATATAAACAGCCTTTTAAGTAGGAATGAGGAATAAATGTATTAGGAGAAGCGATATTGATGAATATTTAAAGCATACGCAGCGCCCGCCAGACTGTGCGAGAAGAGATAAAAGATCACCAAACACCAAAGAGCGTAGAAGGCCAAGAGGAGGCTGATCACGAGCCAAGCAGCACAATAGATGTGGAATCAACAAAGCAAGCTGGCCAGGGGACAAGATGTACTGTGGCCTAGCCAGTTGACCAATAAGCTGATCAATTGCTTGTGAGGCAAAGCAGGAAGAGAAGATCCCATCAATTTTACTAGGAGCTGAAAAGTTGGCTAGCTTCATCTTAGACTCTGACGGCCTGGAGAGCTGAAATAAAAGTTTAAATTTGTATAAATATGCAAACATAATATAGAGAATATTTCGATATATAAAAAAAGGTAACTTTCAGGTTTCGTTGAATTAAAAATATGCATATTAGTAAATGCAAAACCGTGGCCGTAAAGCTAAACGTTGGGCTAATTGATTTTTGGCCATTCTGTTATATAAACATCTTTGGGAGATCGGGCCTAATTAGGCTCTAATTTTGGGGTTCGTATGCTACAAGCTCCCGGAGACTCAGCTCAGATAAAGTGGCAGTGGGCCACAAGGCAAATGTGACTTTCAAGGCAAGCTAGGCTTGGAATAAGACTAGTATTAGTAAGGAAAATTTGCACCTACTAACAAATTCGATGGCAATACTTAAAATACCTAATATTTTACCAAAAACTGTCTAGTGATAGTTCCGAATTAATTCATTAATTACAAAGAAAATTAAGAATACACTGATTCAAGAAAATACATAGCAATAACTAGTAGATAAAAGCAATTTGAGAAAAATATCCTGATGATTCAAAGAGATGCCAAGTTTTAAGTTTACAATAAGGGCATGATATGCACAGAAATGCGGAATTTTCAAGAATTAACTTAGCATATTTTCCAGTTAATGTAAGAGAAGACTATTGTTAGGCCGAAAAAATATGGCCTGCAAATATGTAGCATTTTCACTCCATGCTACCTAGATTGAATCCGAAGAAAACTTCTTGTGTAGTCTTAGCACCAATTATAAGAAAATTGCTGTTATTTACTATTATGTTGGTCATTATCATCAGAGAACAGGTTATGGATGAAATACATCATTGGCAGTAAGATACTACAGAAATGGGTGATAATAGCATACGAAAGAAGTTAAAAACGTGCGTTTCAGATAAATTTCATTGATCTGAATTTAAGAATAGATGTTCCATCTTCAATTTCATCTAAGCCTTATCACTACAAAGGAACTCTATGAAATAAGATGCAGATTTGTAAGTGAGTTAAACTAAAGGTATGACTGAATCTAAAGCAAGCACTTCTAAATTCACAGTTATAGTGCGGACTGAGAGTAGGCAGTTGTGTATTTACTAGAAGAATGTTATAATTTTTATAATATCTAGTGACACTACCCATTGAAAAACAAATCAGGGGGTTAGATAGAATTATTGCAATAAACTAAAAAATGAGCTAAAAAATAGCGTGTGCTTTAGTGAAAGGAGAAATATGAAAGAAGTGTAAAAATAAAGTGTTGAAAAAATATCAAAACAAATGGAAACAGCAAGATAGCGCAGTTTGACCTTTAGAGTGGAAGAAGTCCGTATGATTCATGAGTTTGACGTTTCATTTAAAATATAAAAACGAATGATATTATTACAATTTTGTTAGGCCTTGCGAGCACCACTGCGGTGATTGACATACCTGTGAGATGAGTTGATGTAGAATGATTAATTGAGGTGGATATTCAAAAAGAAGCCGCAGCAGCTGGCTTGCAGTTGGTAGATGACGTTGTGCGAACTGATTTGTTGACAGGTTGTCATCAAATGGTAATAGCACAGACTCAAGGCCAAGGCGAAGGCAGCTAAAATATTTAGATGAAAATATTAACAGATAGCAGGGCATTATAAATATGTAAATCAACATGATAATCTTTCGTGAGAGAAGCTACAGGATTCAATATAAATGTATCACCTGTGTCCTCAAGGAGCAACTGGGGTCGGCATTGCCGAAGCGCATGATTGTCTTTATTCTTCTTAAGAGGAAGATGTAGAATGAAGTTAATTATTATCTGAGATTCTTTGTAAATCAAGAAAGAATAATCGATGTGTTCACATATACCTAAGCCCGAATACGTACGACCTCCAGAGACAGTACTAATCGAGACGATCTTCCAAGTAATTAAAGAACAACGGTGGTCCACTTTATTTACCACTCAAGGTATCTAATAAACGGAATTATAACAAGACTCTAGGGAGGCTTAAGACGGATGAAGACTTCATTTTCATTCTAAGCCGTCAAATTAAAGCAACATTTTTTCCCCCTTATTCAAATGCAGTGTAGTGTGCACTTTTAAGCGGCACACTCCTCGACACTCCACACTGGTGTTCTCACCCCCTTCACCCTTGTGCTGGGAATGTTGATCAGCCTGCCATATTGTTACGCGATCCTGCCTCTCTAGGTCTTGTGAGAGTCTCTCTTTTGTCCCAGAATATCAGTGTGCTATCTCCCTGGTTCAAGTATTTAACTTGTCCCCTGCCACCCCATGAGCTACTCGAGGCGTTATTTTCCATACTCTGTATCTGGGACACTTACTCAAGGCTGAAGCCCCTGCGTAATTCTCGTTGTCAACTAGGCACTGTCTTACTACACCTACATTTTGTTCAAGTTGAGTAATATAAGACTATGGCAGATAAGAAAAAAATTCCTTACGTAAAGTCGAAGGTTCAGGCTGTTAGTATGATAAAAATGTAGCTAAGGCTAGTTCGAGTTATTACAGGGATGATCAGATAAAGGTATAAGTTTTACTCGATCAGATGTATTGAAACATAAAAAGAAGGTAACCTTAAGAACATATTTACTTTCTAGATCAATAGCGATATAACAACCACATTCATTTTCTATAATCAGATAAGTAGGTCTCACGATGCAATTAATTTTCCATCAGTCTTGCCTCTAAAGGCATTCTCATTCATGGTGGGCTGCAATTTCGACCTCGTCTAAGTCATAAAAGCACCACTAGAGGGAATTAAACCTTTGCAGTTCAGCAGATAGCCTCGATATAAGATATTTACAGTGGTGTGGCCTTCCTTGTAATTCACTTCTCAGATAGCCAAAGACATTTTGGCAGCGTAGCATGATGGTAGCGCGCCAAGATAATACATTGCATTACTCAGGGTCGATTCCCGATGGAGATGATGATGAGATCAAGAAAAGTTCAAAACTGCAGTCCACCCTGAATAAGAATATCTTTTGGAAAGCAATGCTAAGTGAAATTTAATGGAAATATGGGGCCTATTAATATCATCATAGGAAAATTAAACTATTAGTTCTTCCTCACCTTATGCAACCTAAGGTGACTGGAATTCTTATTTAAGGTTTGTGGGCAGTTGCAAAATAGGTTAGTTCACAAAATAGCAAAGGATTGACTGCTCACGATTTCAACTGATGTAATGCATGTAGGCAAATTTAGATATGCCTCCAAAGGCCTGAATATATCTTATAGAATGTCAGCTTCGAGATTCTTCCGATGATATTCAATACCAAATATAATGAGTTATTATTATATAAAAGATCAAACGCTGAGAGAATCTGGAGGCACATATGAGAATCATTGAGAAATTAGTCTTGCTATGCCCCCTACTAGCAGCGCAGACGGAAAACAGCAGCTATGCTGAACAAGTGTTGTCCGGGTCGGAGTTTCCGACTGTATAACAACAGTACTTTGTTTTAAGACAAGATGACATGGTCGCAGTCTATGATTGTGATTCATTCGGAAATTAAGTCACAGTAACCTTTTTATCCCTAACTTAATAAAAAGGGCCACACTGAGGGCCTTTAGAGCTGGCAGACAATTTTTGATGGAGAAACAAGTTACGCTAATATGAGTGGAGAAAATCTAATGATGACAATAATTATATAAAAAATAAAAAATAAGGTAAGGAGGATCAACTTTCTGGCTTATCGAAATGTGGATAATGCGGCTTGTAATTAATCAAGTTTTCCTATACATCTAATATAACTGATTTACTGGTAATTTTAAAACTCTACTTCTATCCCTATATTTCAAAGCCTTTTAAACTAATATACAAATAATGCTAAGCAAGCAATATCCTCTATTCTACAAAGTATATTTTCGGTGCAAGAAGATCTTATAAACCATACTAATATTGGTTAATAAGGTTTCTATATAATTCTAAGGTTTCCGCAAAACAACCCAATTAAATTACTGAATTTAGACAGGCTAATCATATAAGCAGAAGGAAAAGGTCCAGCTCATATCGTATGATAAGTAATACAAGGAATTAGACACCATTCGGCTAACTATTTTAATAAATAAAATGATATGTTAGAAGTGGATTGACCTCGTTTTCTCAACTTAATCTTGTTGTCAGGGTGGCTTAGTCTAACGCCCCTCGCCTGAAGTCCTCTGCAATAGTAGTTATCATAATTCCCAGCATAAGATAATGGACTTAGGACATTCTCAGACGTTTCGCTGGCATTGTGGTCGGCATCATCACCATCAGAAACCTACGTTTAACGGATGTGGAATTCTGGGATAGAGTTGGATAAATTGACTGGGATCTTCCTCGGCAACGGCTACTCAAGCGAAGTAATACAAAGAAACATACGGGCCGTGAAAAGCCGATGGCAGAACGGGGACTATGAAAGAACAGTAAGGACGATGAAGGATTCACAAAAATGGATATGCATACCTTCCTGAGAACTAATTCAAAAACTGCAGCCAATACTAAAGAAATTAAATATTCAGGTAAAAAACAACAATCTTCACAAGTCTGCCGACGAAAAATTAAAGGGTGGACAAATAGGATTGTTCAGGAGTTTACTGCATAGCATGCGGGGCCTGCGAACAAAAATATATTGGCGAAACAGGGAGAAAGATTAGCACACAAATCAAGGAACATCAAAAACTATGCGGGAAAATGAATACCAAAATATCGGAGTTAGCAAAACACATCGTAAAGACTGGGCAAGACATCCATTGGAAGGCAACTGAAAGAAGGACCTCATACGGTGAAGACACAAGGAAGCGGAAGATTATGGAGGCCATTGACACACTTGAGGAAAAAAAATTAATGAACAGAAAATTGGAGGAAGGCAGAGTTAGCGAGAAATTTGCCTGC